AGGCTTCTCTAAAATCGATCCATGACTCGATTGTAGAGAGTGGCTCATGCTGCGCCCAATCTAGTGCTGGTCCAGCTAGTGATGTGCTGAATAGCATCATCTTCTTCTCAAAGTCAAAGACTCCATAGGAATCACAAAGATTATCAAAGTGATCCAGATGCTCTAGCGCATACTCTGAAAACAGATGATGGAATTGATCTCTCTTCACGAACTCAATCATCTCAGGGTTAATCTCCTCTTCTGGCGTGGCTAGAAGGTGTTCTTCTCTGTAAGATGCGGCTTGGCTAGATGTCTCCAGGTCGGCTGCTTCAAGGTAGGGAAGAAGTTTCTTCTTTGTCTTCAAGGAGGATAGTTTTGGAGGACTATCCCAAGAAGGTGGTGGTGCTTGAGGGCTTGACATCTCTTGTTCGTCCAAGAGGTTTCTTTGAGGTGGTATTTGGCGAAGTGGAATCGCCTTTATAGGAACAAGGACTTGTGAATCATTTTCCATATCTAACTAGGAAAGCCTGAAAAAGATCAAAAACAAAAAGGAAAAACCAAATCAAAAGGAAAAGGGAAAATAACAAAACTAAAAAGGAAAAAGATAAAACCCTAGACTAGCTCTCTTGCAGGAACTTGTAGGTGACAAATTGGTCCCCGGCAACGGCGCCAAAAACTTGATCGCGGGATCAGGTCTTCCCCTTTCCTATCCCTGATTCTGTAAGTGCACAGGTCAGAAGTAGTAAACGGGTATCGAACACGAGGACCAGATTGCACACTACAAGCTATAAGTTCGAGATCGAGCTAGGGCAAAAGTATAAGGTTTGGTTGAGTGCAGTAAGAGTAAAGGCATGCAAGTTTCAAATAGAATAAGATCAATAGGAGAAAAGGGCTAAGCAATAGGATAGTCTTAAGATAAGCAATTCATGAAGCAAGAAATCAATCAATTAGGGTTACTGCAATTAGGTGTCATTCTAGAACTTGAAACACTAAGGTATGATCATTCCACTGTCGAGGCTCCGACCCCTTTGTTAATCTACCTAGTCGCTAAACTTTTGGTATATCCTTAGGTGATTAAATCAAGCATTAGTTTGATTAAGTTCAATTGTTCACAACCTACAAGTAAATCAACTTTCGCAGTCTAAAAGAGGTTGCCCACCAAATACTAGTTCAGGCGAATGATACAGCACTATCGAGGCTCAAATCAACCCAAGTTCATATGCTTATTGGCCAGATTAACAACAAGCATTAAGTATAAGCAAAGATGGAGATTATAAGTAAAACCCTAATTGTGATCAATCATCAAACATACATGAATGCTATCCTTTGACTTCCTATCACTTAACAAGTAAACTACTCAGACATAGAGAAGGAACACGAATTCATATTCATAAGAACAGAGATTCGAATCCTCTCTAGAAAGAGCACAAGCAAGAACAAAGTAAAAGCAACCAAAACTTTATTAAAGATGTAAAATATATTGTGGTCTCTCTCCTTCTTGAGTTACAAGGCTAAAAAGAAGTATTTATAATACACTAAGTATGAAAAAGCGGCTAGACCTAATCTTGCTAGGTCGGCGCCGGCTTTGGGCTTGGATTGTGCGGATTGGGCTTCAAAAACGGCTTTGGGGCGACCGCGGCGTTCAGACGGTCGGTCGGGACGATCGGCCCGACAGTCGGGTTGTGGCCGTGTCGGAACGGTCGTGGCCGGATGATTTAACGGTCGGCCGGTGTGGTCGGACGGTTGATGGAATGGTCGATGGTTTCTCGGCCGGACTTGGGACGAGCCGGAACCATCGGCCGTGGTACGCGAGATAGGTTACGCGGCCGCGAGGCTTTGTTTCCCGGCTCGCGCGGCATGGTCGTGCGCGGCGAGGCGTGGACGGTCGTGGCGTGGCCGACTGCGGGTCTTAGTTTCCCGGGTCGTGATGCATGATCGGCCGAACGGTTTTGAACTTTGGCCGAGACTTCAGACGGACGGACGCAATTTTGGCCGAGAGCGGAACATGCGTTCCTCGGCCGGCCGTTCTGCGCGGTTTGGGCGTCGATTCTCGATAGATCGGCTTTGGACAGTCTTCGCTCTTTTGGCTATAAGTCCTTTTCTACTCATCCAAATGAGGCCGTTCCAGTTGCGTTGGAAAGTTAACTCAATCAGAGCACGCAGGGAACTAGTCTTGATGAAATCCATTGAGTAGATCGTTTTCTAGCTCCATCCAAAGTTGATGCAGTGGCATTGAACTGGTTTGAAGTCCGGCACTACAAGAAAACAGCGTGAAACTGATGGAGAAAATTGTCGATCAACCGTCGGAAACCATCTATATCGACGGATTTCCGACCGTTATAATTCGTCAATTACAAGTCGTCGGAAAAACAACATTCGTCGGAAATCCGTCGTAAATAACCGTCGGAATCCGTCGAAAATTATTAACGACGGATTACCGAGAGTTTATCGACAACCATCATGGTCGGGATGTTCATCAATAATCTGTCGATAGTAAGCCGTCGGAACCCGTCGAAACAGTTTCCCGGCGGAATACTGAGAGATTATCCGCAATGGTCCTGATCGGGAAATCTGTCGATAATCCGTCAGAAAATGATTCCGTCGGAAAGTCATCGCTTATTTTCTCAACGGAAATTTGTCGGAAATTTATCGCAAATATATCCGACGAATTGTAGACGGAATTAATCAAAATTTTCCCGACGGATTTTGTATTCCTCATTAAACCGTCGGAAATGTTTCCTGTGATTTACGACGGACTTCATGCCTGTTGAAACACTGTCGGAAATATTTCCCTATATACGATGGAAATAAAATTTGTCGCTAAACCATCGAAAATATCCCAATAATTCCGACGAGTTCTAATCCGTCGGAAATTGCCGACGGATTACCGACCGTTTTTGTGCTGTTGAAAACCGTCGGAAATCCATCGAAAAATTACTGGGGCGTGGTGGTGGAACATAAATGGGACCTTTAGCAAATCTGTAGAGGAAAGCTCCTTTGTATCCATTCCAAGTCTTGAAAGCATGTTGGGCGTTGAACTTAGCCCATTCTTTGGCTTGTCCAGCTAAAGATAGTTGGAAAAGTTGTATCTTCTTGGGGTTATCTCCAACTCCATAGTCGTGGCAAAGCTGCTCAAAGTTGCATAGATGCTCCTTTGCACACTCTGAAGTAGAATTGTAGAAAGGGTTTCTCTCCACATGCTTGATTAGCTCTTCAAGATGGGGTGGTATGCCTCCCCATTCTTCTTCTTCACGCTCTCTCTCCAGCTGATGAGAGTAGTGATTGTACTTGGACTTGAAAGGTGGTAGCCTTGCAAATCTCTTCAAGAAGGCTTCTCTAAAATCGATCCATGACTCGATTGTAGAGAGTGGCTCATGCTGCGCCCAATCTAGTGCTGGTCCAGCTAGTGATGTGCTGAATAGCATCATCTTCTTCTCAAAGTCAAAGACTCCATAGGAATCACAAAGATTATCAAAGTGATCCAGATGCTCTAGCGCATACTCTGAAAACAGATGATGGAATTGATCTCTCTTCACGAACTCAATCATCTCAGGGTTAATCTCCTCTTCTGGCGTGGCTAGAAGGTGTTCTTCTCTGTAAGATGCGGCTTGGCTAGATGTCTCCAGGTCGGCTGCTTCAAGGTAGGGAAGAAGTTTCTTCTTTGTCTTCAAGGAGGATAGTTTTGGAGGACTATCCCAAGAAGGTGGTGGTGCTTGAGGGCTTGACATCTCTTGTTCGTCCAAGAGGTTTCTTTGAGGTGGTATTTGACGAAGTGGAATCGCCTTTATAGGAACAAGGACTTGTGAATCATTTTCCATATCTAACTAGGAAAGCCTGAAAAAGATCAAAAACAAAAAGGAAAAACCAAATCAAAAGGAAAAGGGAAAATAACAAAACTAAAAAGGAAAAAGATAAAACCCTAGACTAGCTCTCTTGCAGGAACTTGTAGGTGACAAATTGGTCCCCGGCAACGGCGCCAAAAACTTGATCGCGGGATCAGGTCTTCCCCTTTCCTATCCCTGATTCTGTAAGTGCACAGGTCAGAAGTAGTAAACGGGTATCGAACACGAGGACCAGATTGCACACTACAAGCTATAAGTTCGAGATCGAGCTAGGGCAAAAGTATAAGGTTTGGTTGAGTGCAGTAAGAGTAAAGGCATGCAAGTTTCAAATAGAATAAGATCAATAGGAGAAAAGGGCTAAGCAATAGGATAGTCTTAAGATAAGCAATTCATGAAGCAAGAAATCAATCAATTACGGTTACTGCAATTAGGTGTCATTCTAGAACTTGAAACACTAAGGTATGATCATTCCACTGTCGAGGCTCCGACCCCTTTGTTAATCTACCTAGTCGCTAAACTTTTGGTATATCCTTAGGTGATTAAATCAAGCATTAGTTTGATTAAGTTCAATTGTTCACAACCTACAAGTAAATCAACTTTCGCAGTCTAAAAGAGGTTGCCCACCAAATACTAGTTCAGGCGAATGATACAGCACTATCGAGGCTCAAATCAACCCAAGTTCATATGCTTATTGGCCAGATTAACAACAAGCATTAAGTATAAGCAAAGATGGAGATTATAAGTAAAACCCTAATTGTGATCAATCATCAAGCATACATGAATGCTATCCTTTGACTTCCTATCACTTAACAAGTAAACTACTCAGACATAGAGAAGGAACACGAATTCATATTCATAAGAACAGAGATTCGAATCCTCTCTAGAAAGAGCACACGCAAGAACAAAGTAAAAGCAACCAAAACTTTATTAAAGATGTAAAATATATTGTGGTCTCTCTCCTTCTTGAGTTACAAGGCTAAAAAGAAGTATTTATAATACACTAAGTATGAAAAAGCGGCTAGACCTAATCTTGCTAGGTCGGCGCCGGCTTTGGGCTTGGATTGTGCGGATTGGGCTTCAAAAACGGCTTTGGGGCGACCGCGGCGTTCAGACGGTCGGTCGGGACGATCGGCCGACAGTCGGGTTGTGGCCGTGTCGGAACGGTCGTGGCCGGATGATTTAACGGTCGGCCGGTGTGGTCGGACGGTTGATGGAATGGTCGATGGTTTCTCGGCCGGACTTGGGACGAGCCGGAACCATCGGCCGTGGTACGCGAGATAGGTTACGCGGCCGCGAGGCTTTGTTTCCCGGCTCGCGCGGCATGGTCGTGCGCGGCGAGGCGTGGACGGTCGTGGCGTGGCCGACTGCGGGTCTTAGTTTCCCGGGTCGTGATGCATGATCGGCCGAACGGTTTTGAACTTTA